CTACTATACAGACACCTAACTAAATTGTCGATTGAGATTTTTGGTGGGAATCCAAATCCGAATAAAGCACACAATATTTCACGTTCATGCGCATGCGTATTAGACAGCATTAGGCCTTGATGCATGGCAAATTACAGAGATCAATATGATATATATATATATATATATATATATAAAATTAAAAATTATATATATATATATAAAATTAAATTTATATATATATATATATATATATTCAAGCTGTTGATGATAATAAGACGATAATAATGGTTAATGGTAATGTTTTTGATTTTGTTGGTGATTACCTTAGCGTTGCCATCAATAGCGGTATCTGACTTATCGCTGTGACAAAAACGATTACAATGACAAGTGACATGAAGATTGGAAGTTTGTCACACGTTGAGTCACATTTTCCATCTCTAGCATCCCACGTGACATCATCATTATGAGTAATACATGTACATTGAGTGAATAACTCCTAGAAGAAAGAAATGTAAACAAAAAAATTATCATATTATATGAAATACAACCAATGAAAATTTTACCGAACAAAACAACATCCATAATTATAAGCAATGAAAATATTCGCGATCACATGTCCTCAATCAGCATTTTCTCAATTAACAATCCTCAATTACCTTATCTAATTCTTTATCGTATCTATGGTTACTGCATCCCGCATGGCACGGACTAAAATATGTCACAGCATCCACTCCACAGACTGGTTGATAGTCCTTGTCATGGCAACCACAGTTAACAAAACAGGAACTGGTATTTGTTGAACTGACGTGTTTCATTAGTAGAAAAAAAGGTAAAACATAATTAATTAATTAAAATAAAAACACATCGTGATATAAAAACACCCCCAATCATAATATGATACATTCTGAAGTCATAACATGGAGGTGGTCATAAGTATTGATGCTATTAGGCTTCAAAGTGCAGCATCAAAGTGCTGTGGAGAACGGAGCAGTGAAAATGATTCTACTGCTTTCTTGTCATTTTATCGTTGTTTGATGTCCATGTAGCATTAGGATATTAGCGCATACATGCAATTTTATTGTATTATGCGCTATATAAGACTTTTATTATTATTATTATTATTATTATTATTATTATTATTATTATTATTATTATTATTATTATTATTATTATTATTATTATTATTATCACTATTATTATTATTATTATTATTATTATTATTATTATTATTATTATTATTATTATTATAAGAAAAATATGTCAAAGTCAAAGTACCTATCTGTGCCCTGAGAAACACCTGCGAATTGCTGGTTATCACATTTGACAAGGAACAGCGATAGGAGAAACATCAATGTTATAGAGCTAACGATGAATGCAAACCGAGTGCATTTTTCCAATGTGAAATGGTAACGCCTGACTATGAAACCACCGATGATAATCCCAGCAGCCGCGGGTGGAATAATAGAACCTGTAAAATCAAGGAAATTATGATGGACTACATTGAAAATGAATGTATCACAGTCTGAGAGTGCCATTTCCGGCCATCTAGAGGTGCCATAATGATTTACAGTAAATACCGGTAATTTTCTTACCTCAGCCCCCACTAACGGTTGGAGACCCTCCATCTGTGAAAGTCCCTCCCTGCGCCCCTCTATTTCGAATTCCTGGATTAGCTCACTGGTATCGAACATTTAATTTAAATGGGATGCAGGTTTCCGCTTCACGGTAGAACGTATTCTCATAACTATTTTACCCATTTCCACGATGAATACTAATTTCTCTGTATTCGCTTGTCGAATCACGGCGACCCAAATATTTACGTTGTGGAATTTTGTGTGATTAAATTTTCAATATTTCCTACACGATTGACAAACTAAATACTGTAATTTCATAGAGTGGTTTTTGGATTACCAATGAATAAAATCTGACCAACTTATCTCAGAATTAAAGGTTCAGGAAGCATAATCTTCTGTGTCTCCTCTTTATCAGTTAACTCGTGAAATATGATTTTTGGGGACAAAAAAAAACCTGTTAAAAAACTTTTTTAATTGAGAAGTAGGCCTATATCAGTCTCATGAATAAAGTCAAAATATAACATAATTCATAGTAGTTTAAGGTTTCCCCGGAATTTATCATTTATAATGCCAGGGGCCTAGAAAATATTGAAGAGCGAAAGAGAAAGTACAGAAAGTGAAAAACACAGAGGACGATCGAAACTCACATGAATTATTTCAAAATGTAAAGGCCTATATTATTACAAGGATCCTCTATAGTATTGCTACGACATCCTGTGTTACAAGGCTATGCCACGAAATACAGACAAGTCGAAGACGAATGGCGTTTCTGATGAAGATGATAATAATGGTGGTGATGACGACTACATTGATGATGTTTACCTAATAATGATGCATAAGGGGGTGGTGGTGGTCGTCGTGATGGTGATGATGGCGATGATGATGATAATGATTTACGACAATCCATGCGGCTATAATTTAGTATGGTCTATACAGTAGGCAGGGTTGGCGCGAGGATTTGCCTGGGGGCGAGGTCCCCGACGGAGTGGTTGGTGGGGGGGGGGCGACGTACCCGACGAGAGCAAAGTGGGCATGGTCGAGCGGCGCTTAAAATGTTTCGAAAGTGGTCTCTGACAATTTAGGGGTTTCAAAGGCTTATTTAATCGATTTTAGAGTCTACTAATATGTGCAAAAGTCATATAATTTCTTTTTCTCTCCGACAAATTGTGGTCTTTCTCCCCGACGGGAGGGGGGCGAAGCTCTCCCCGACGTGGGGGGGGGGCTGGTCTGGGAATGTTTACAATAGCTCACAAGATTAATCGTCCTAATGAGAGCATTTCCTGAATTATTTACGTCAATCCCTAATGCCAGTATCATATTATTACTACAGAACCGCAAGTCAATCGTTTCGATAGTATAGGGCCTATCTATATCGCTGAAGGTTACTAAAATGACCATTATTATGCTTTATTACCATGTTGCTAGTAAAACTTAATTTAAAAGATCCACTGATTAATCTGAAGTAAGAAAGTATCATACATACTGTACTCAAGGTATTGAAATACACGCCATTGTGTTGGGATTCAATATTTCGATATTAATTACCGGTATGTCATCATCAGGAATGATGATGGCATAATTAATGATGTCGTGTATTTCAATACTTCGACTATTATTATTATATTATTTTATTTTATTTTTTACTGTATACATA